GACTTGTTCCATTAAGGTTTCTTCCAAGTAAAGTCAATGGCAGAAGTCCCAGTGACTTCAGTGGTGAAGGTTCACACCTTACATATAGTTCATCCTACTGTGGAGGAAGATCTTGTTTTCTTTTAATTCACTAGATGGTAGCAGTGTACAAATTGTCTTTTTTTTTTTTTTTTAAATTTAGTTTCTTTAAATTCTAATCAGTCGCATTTGGAACCCTCCTTCATTTTCTAACTCATTTTTTCTGAGTCTTGCACTGAGGCTTTGAGGAGAAAAAAACCAGCAGTTTTCTCTGTTATTTGGGATCTTCTGAAGTTTATGGATTATTCCTATTACCGCAGTGCTACCTTTAGCCAAAGTCAATTCCAGAGAAGGGGCTGTGTTGTCAGAGCCTACCTCTAGCTTGGTATTGCATCTTATCAGCCGCTGAGGGGGCTCCTGCCCGAGGCTGCCTGTTCCATCTCCAACACTCACAGTCAAGCAAGCCGACTAGCTGACTCTGCTGATGCAGAAACTTGAAACTAGCTCAGTATGTTTAAGTACACAGCAGCCCTAGCTCCCAATTTCATTCCTAATATTGGTTCTACTATAACATATCAGACATGAACTATGGAAATTTGAAGCAGTCTATTGGAGAGCCTTTTTTTAAGCCTAAAAATACATAATGCTAATAAAGATGAAGATATTTATGTACTGACAGACAATGGCCAGAAGTAACAGAGATATGATTAATGCAATCCTCCAGTGAGTAGCTTGAACTAAGTGCAGTTACTCAATATCCCCATCTGAACCTGGTGGGATGCAGGTAGGAGCCTTATCGCTAGCTAGAACAGTACTGACTGAATCAGACAGACTGATGCCAAGATGGCTTTGCACAAGTTGCTCTATATAAGGCTTATAGCAAACACTATTTTCTGGCAGTACAATGAGATAAATCCAAAGGACATTTGCAGGAGAATTTTCAGAATTCCTCCAGGCAATAGATGTGAGACTGTAATGTAAGTATACTTTTGCTTTGTGCAAAGCAGGATGACATAGGCAGAATTAACATTGACAGGAGAAAGCACCTTCAGTTTTCATGAAGATGTTTAAACATCTGATATTATTTTGCTAATTTGAAGGATTGAGTTGCAGGGATAGCTACTGGGTTTTATGCTTTATTTTTGGCAGATCCAACCAATTGAGATACTAAATTTTAAGATGCACATGCAGAGGAAAAAAGTTACGAGCACCATACTTTAACAGCGTGCCCACTCTGTAAGTCTCTACAAAATGCCATGGAGAATAGAAAAAATCCCAGTTAGGGCCACAAAAAATCATCCTAAAATATATGATAGAAATGATGATAACACAAGACAATCAAGATCAAATTTCCATTTTCTTTTGGTTCTCAGTATTTCACAATTGCTAACTATGCTTAAAATGGGGGGTCCTAATCTAGAATTTCAGCAAGGAACTGATTCACACCTGGAAAATAGAAGGCTATGCTAAAAGCATTGAACAGAAGGTATCAATCTATCTTGCATGTATGTGAATGAGAGGGAAGGGGGATATATGCCGATTCTCTGTCATACTAATTCTACAGCTATCACTTAGGAATTAATAAAACATTTAACTCAACTCTCTCTTGCAGCTATATTCCTGCTGGCTGCTGCGGTGATACATTGCAATAATATGCCAGTGATGATATTCTAGTAATAAATGATGGTAATATACCATCAGATCGTCATCACTCCAGTGATGTACTATCGCAATACATCATCAGGCAATGGAGTTTAAGCATTAGTGGAAGAGGCAGACTTCAATATACATTGACTGAACATGGTGTGCGACGAGGTACCCTATGCACTGTGTATGGTTTTTCAGCAGTAACTGTATATGAATTGTATGCCACATATACAGGTTTTTCTTACCTAAATACTTCAAATAAAAAGAGAATGTGAGTGTTCAAACAATGTAATCATACATGTAAAGATGCATGTTGCTGACTTTATGCAGTGTGCTTTTATGTATGCACGGAGACGTAAAAAGGCATACACGTACTTCCATGCAGATTTAGAGACTCAGATCCCTTTGCTACCAGCACAATGATATGAAAACTACCCAAAAATATTAAAGAACTTTACAGACATCAGTAAGTCAGTCACTACATCCAACAGAGGCAAACAAACAAGACTTGCTCCCACCTCCAGAAAACCAGTGATGGGGCCTGCTTGGCAATCAGCTTTCCAGATTTTCACTGTCCTGTTTTCAATAAACATTGCAACACAAGTGTGTTGTATAATTGCCTCTCATAGTATTTACCCACCAATATGATATGTAGTGCCTTGGCATGACAGGTCATGGTCAGCAGTTTTTTGATTTCATTTGCAACTGCTTCTCAGCTTGTTCCTCAGACAGTGATCACTGCTGGAGGACCCTCAAACTACTTTGTGAGTACCAACCAACTCTTTGCAATAATGGTACAACACTATACACCACATATGCATGCAAATGGCCAAGTAATTGAAGGAAAAAAGTATAGATCTTTCTCACTCCTTATTCCGTCTTTAAGCATCTACCTTCACTGGAAGCCAATGCAGATCGCACATAACATAAGAGAGGTTGGACTCGATGATCTTGAGGTCTCTTCCAACCTAGAAATTCTGTGATTCTGTGATAATTCATAGCTTAATCTCCAGTGAAGTTTCCTGAAGAATTGGTGCATCCTAGTTACCTAAAAGTGATATGAGTTTGGGGAGTCACATTGAGTCACCCGCCCACCTATAGGTTTAAAATGAAGGGAAGTTTTACCTTTGAAGCCAGATCAGCAGTACCAGGACATTACAGTCAAGGGAAGAAACTCGTTTTAAGTCAGCAAAGTGCAGTTTGAGAGGTTCACTTTTGATGACAACAGACCACAGAATGAAGCTATGCACTTTAAAGATTTTTCATAGCTTTTTGGATACTGAATTTCTCTAGAAGAATTCAGTACCAGCCAGCTCTGTAATCAATAAATATGCTATTGATGGAAAATGAGGAAAGGACTTAAAGAATCATTAAAGGTCAGTTGATTTGTCCCTAAAGCTCATATGCTCAGCATCTGTTTACTACTTATGAGTCACAGACTGAGACTGTGAAATTCATCTGGGAAAGAAGTTTGATTTTATATGGCTGGCTGAAGTTTTTATCTCCTAGCATTGAAGAATATTAATTTCTAGGAGCTGGTATGAGGAGCTTCTGCATGAGTTGTGAAATTAGTCATTTCTGCTTCTACTGTTCTTTGAAGTAAAGCAAGCAAGATCTATTTGAGTTCAAATAAAAACACTCAAGCCAAGTGAAGCATCACTCACAAAGCTCGGAACACTCTAGTTACATTAGGTTGCCCATGACACCCAACATACTGCTACTGTAAATTTGGTTCAGCTAAAAGACTGAATCTTTTAGTACATAATAAACTTTTCAGGATACTATTGCAAGAGTCAATGCCACATGCTAAAAAAAAAAAAAATCAATTAGAAGAATAGAAAGCAAGGGGAGGGTGAGGATCCTCAAGTGCCATATACATGTATCCCAGCTGAGAAACTGGAGTCACAGGGGCAAACTGCAGTTCCTGCTGGACTTGAAACATTTTGTCTGCTTTATTACCTTCCAGTGGTGATAGTGGAACTACAGCCTCAGTTAGAAAAATAACCATCTTTAATATAAAGATTTCTAGTGATGAAAACTATCCCAACCATCATTACATTATTCCTCTGCTTAGGAAGATTCCCTGTTAGCAACTTGAAATACCAAACTGGAATGTATGCAACTTGGGTTCTACTATAGATTTCCTTGTTCAACGGAGATTCTTCCCTTTTTCTAGATACTTCCTCTATAGCCAAGGTATAATTTATCCTGTTAGACCTATTACTACACCTAATATTTTCTTTTAATCTTTTGAAGGTCATAGTTTTATTTTGTCATTTATATTTACTAAATGCTTTTCTTATGTCAATTACACTTAAAATCAAAGAATTTTCAAGTTAGTTCGAGAATTATTTTCCATAAAGTCTTTGCTGATTAGCATTAACTATAGAATGCAGCCTCCAGTCTATTTTAATTAAATTAAATAAGTTTTTCTATGGTTTTCCCATATTGAAGTCAGTTTGACAACCTCTGTTGTCTCAGCCATCTTTCCCAAACTTTTTAATAAGATAACAAGGAACTAGCAGTCTTTCAACTTTCTGGAATTCTCCCTTATCTATGGGTTACTGAAAAATCAATATTAGCTGCCAAAAAAGCTCCTCGGCCAGCTGCTTTAAAATTCCTCAATGCAAATTACCCAGAACTTCTGATTTAAGTATGTCTAACTACAGTAGCTGTTGATTAATATCCTCTTTAGTTACAGTAGGAATAGAAAGTATATTACCATCATTATACAACAAATACATCATCCTTTACCGCCACTACAGAACAGACATCTTTACTAGATTCTTCTGCATTGAAAAAAAGAAGTATCTACTGTTTCTATTTGTGAACAGACCTTGTGGTCTCTTTCTAGATTTTTTTTTTTTAACTCCAGAAATATTTTGCTAAAACCTTTCAATTATTAATATATATATATTTTTTTCTGTTGGTTTTCTACAATTTCTGTTCTCTCTTAATATCAAGCTTTGTCATTTTCATCCTTATCTGCAGGACTTATTTTTATAACTCCATTCACTTCCTTCCTGCTTCCAAGGTTTTTGATTTATTGTGCTGAGCTTATTCTGTTGTGTTTCTACACTGATACAGCCTTCTTTCTCGTGTTAAAATATGGTATTCTTAAGGAGTTTTTATAAAGCTCTCATGTTTTCTGCCTTATTTGCTTCTTCCAATTGATATTGCTCGAGATGGTTTTTGGCCTTATAAAGCCAACCTTCTAAAAGCCCAGTATATCCTGTACTGGTTCAGATTTCACTTTGCTTACATAGAGCAATATTAATTGAATTATTACCACTCATACATCAAAAAACAAGACAAGACTGGTTGAAAGAACTTACCCTTTAGCCAAGGGCAGAACAAAGATGAACAAAAACCACTCATAAAACAAAATCATTCACTCTTGACACTGAAGCCTTCTTTTCCCGTAAAGGTTCATCATCTTTCTCAGAGAAAAGCTCTGGCTGCAGAGCTAAACCAGGAGAAGTGCCAGCCTCACCAGAGGAGCTTTATAGCTCCCTTGGGGCACAGCAACTCACTCCAGCTGGGCCAAGGCACAGCCTCCCCTTCCTCCTCCTTCCCCTGTGGCTGGGTTCCCTGGCAATCTCTGAAATGAGGGCAGGCAGCTGTGAGGTGCTCTCTGCCAAGAGAAGAGGAGCATTAACCCTCTTCTTGTTGCCTGCCTGATGGGGTCTGTAGGACTTAGAAAGTTATCTCTTCCTTGAGACTTAAGGAAGGAATGTTTCACAGCGAGGGCTGTGAGGCCCTGGCCCAGACTGCCCAGAGGAGCTGTGGGTGCCCCAACCCAGGCAGTGCCCAAGGTCAGGCTAGATGGGGTTTGGGCAACCTGATCTAGTAGCAGGGAGGCTGGAACTGGAGACCTTTGAATGTCCTTCCAATCTGAACCATTCTATGGTTGTATGATTCTACGGATCCTTCAGAAACCATGGCCCCTGCTCCAAAGCTGCCTGGCATCCAGGGCAGCCTATCCCCACTGAACTCTGTGGTGGGCTGACTGCAGACCTTTGCTAATGCTGGAGGTGAAGGATCAAACTCGGCTTCTTAGCAGACTGCATTTTGCAAGTTTCTCTGCAGCACTCCTGTTGGGATGCTGTTGGTTGAGAGAGTGTGCTGCTCGAAATATTTGTCTGTGTGGAGCAGATTCAGGCTTCCTGTTGTTTCAGCCAAGGAAGAGAACAAGCCGATATTCCCCACTGCTCCCTCTCCTTAGAGCCCAATGTGATGTTCTCAGAACAATAACCCAATTTAGTTTGGTTCCCTGGACTAAAATGTCTGCACACTGTTTTACTCACTTGCATTTGTATGTGGATCTTTTCTCATAGCTGTCGTAATTGAAAACGGTTAATGTGCAATGGCTTCACTAGGTGGTTAACAGAAGCAATTAGAGCTGAGTTCAATATCTGTTAGGCTGCTTTGCAGAGGCCCCAAACTAGCTTACATCTTAACTTCAAATGATTCTGGAAAAAAAAAAAAAAAAAGACTTTCAGAAGCTCTCTCCCAGTGTATCTCCCCTGCCTCTGAACATGCTTGGGTTTCTGTACACATCTTTACCTGTCAACAGCAACAAAACTGAGCAAAGGCAAGGTGCTCAAGTGATGCAACCAACCACGAAGCAGTGCTGCTGTGCTCAAATCCCAGTGTGCTGTGGCTCCAGGCATCTTTAAACCTGCCCCGACCCAGAGCATGGCCCAGCTTCGTGAGCAACCTCTGTGCTCACAGGACGTGGCAGCTGTTGGAGCTGAGCATGCACTAGCAGCCTGCTCGCTTCTCTCAGCTGAGCTTCCCGGCCCTCATCAGGGCTGAAGTTGGGCTGCTCATCCAAATATGACAGCATGGTATGCCAAACACATTAACAAAGTGTCCTAATAGCAGATCTTTCCCCTCTTCATCCACAAATGGAACAAAAAATTTGTACTATTTTGAAGCTTTAGACCGTGGGCCTAAATACTATATATACATTAGCCTTCAAGGTGCAGTATGTATTTTATAAAACCATGGCAAAGAAAATACATTGAACGCTTGCCAGATTCCTCCCCCTAGTCCTGCTTCTCACACAAGACATCTACTGCGGAGCTAGGAATACTCCCTCCCGATACACAGGTTTTAACTATAGTTTGCTTTTGTGATTGCAAGTGAGCCATAAAATGAAGAAAGGAAAGAAGGAGAGAGAGAAAGAAAAGAGTTACAGAAAATTAGTAAGTCTCCTCTGCTGAATATGTTATTTCTATTAAAATTTTAGAAGAGTTTGAAGTGACAGTAAATGTGGTCTTATTTTAGAATGGTTTCCATAACACTACACAACAGTTGCCAGTGGCACTTACGCCTTTTCGTACATACACACACAGCTATTTAGCTGACAACAGTGTTTAAGCCATTAAACAAGATAATATTGCAACTGTTATGCAATGGTAAAGCTTGCTCCTAAAAGAAGTATTTGGTGTTTTAAGCTGAAAGTCGACATTTGTTCCATATTCATTTATATTTTCTTTATTAGAAATGTATAATTTAATGTAATATTTAAGGCCCTTAGGGTATATGCTCTGTTACCTATAAAACATTCATGCACATTGAACACTTTTTTGGTGCCAGTTCTTGGATTTGTACATCTGCTATACAATACTGAGTACTCTAACTAACAACAAGCCTTAATTGAGTTTAGGTGTTTGAGTCATTTATTTAAATTTAGTAGTGTGAATAATTTATTTCAATTTACATTTTAATTATTTTACCCACTTTTTTGGGAGTAACCTCATTTTCTAGCTTCTAAAAAAATTATCGGCATATGTTTACTGCAGCAACATTCACACTTACTAAATTCTCTGAGAAGTTTAGCTCCAAACTGAGAAATAATAATGAATTATTCATGCATCAGGCATTAGCCAGAATTAAATTAGGATGTCCAGATCTAAAAGAAACCTGACCTTCTGATACCCAATAGTCTCTGAGGATCGTTCATCTGCCATGGCAGGTTGGGCTGAGCTCCATTTGGGTATGGCCAAATACAAAACCTTCTGCAGTCAGTGTGGGTTTACACGTTCTTATTTATCATCTCTAGTTGAGCAGTGTGCTGAGACATCGTGTGTGGCACGGACTTCCTTGTTGCTGGTATGCTTCTGTAGGAATATTTTTAACCCATAGGGAAGCCAAAATGTTTTTGTGATATATTAGTTTACTTTGCAAATGTTGACTAAATAAGGTGTTCCCCATGTAATTAACAGAGATGGAAGTTCTGAGATAGATGTTCCATTTCCAGCCCCTTCTCAATGTATCCTGGGACCTCACAAGGGAAGAAATGGAAACAGACACCCTCCGGGAGATGCATCTCATCTGTGACATCCTCAAACATTCACCAGTGTACCCAGAGCTCAGCTCCATTTACACAAGCTACAGTGTGGTGGCTGCTTGGGCATTTGCTAAAAAAAAACTGCAAGAAGACCAAGCTCTTTTGTACTCAGAAATGAATGGGGACTTTGGTGGGAAACCAGCAAAAATTTTGTGATGGCATTCAGCCTCAGGCACTGAGTCCTTATGTTAAGACAGGGTATGAGCAGATTTCAGAGGACCTCAGGATCTAAGAAAATACCTGATGTCTGAATCCAGCTGTTGAAGAACATCCCTCAGTGGCAACTGCCTGTTGGGTTTCAAAGTGTTAACAGGAGACACGCTGTCCTCATTTCATTGGCACTTGTTAGTGATTGAGATGGCTAAAATAGTTTTATAAGCAGAAAAAGATGCCTTCAACAAAGGGCAATGAAAACCACTCAGCATTAAATACGTGAGGATTTTTCTTTAGTGGTAAAGTCAATTTGTGACATTTCACCATCAGTCCTGAGCACAAGCATGCATATACAAATGCACCTGTGCCTCCCTAGTCATCACTTGTTATTTTTTTACGGTCTTTTCCAAGTACAATGTAAATATAAGCAAAAATATATGCATTGGTTTCAGACTGAATGTCTTTGTTCCCTGGATTTCTATGTATACATATATTTTATTAAGCACTGTCTTTTTTTTTCCTCCTCCATACCTTTTCACACACACAAGTGCCCTCTCAGATGCTATGATCTCCCTTGCCTGTTGATCCATAGCTACATAAATGTTTCTCCAGGTAAATAAATTTCACCACATTTTACTTTAAAATGTAATTTTTTTTCAAATCCACTTTTACTGCTAAATATAGCCTGTCCATAAATGAACACCTTGAGAATGGAAAATAGTAAGCTGGAAATATTAATAATAAAAACTTTTGCATTTAGCTACAACAAACTTCGTGCATGTCTTTGTTTGGAATATCAATTGTGACACTGTCCAGAATAAGGCTTTTCTGTCATTTCAGCTGCAGAAAACAAACAAACAAACAAACAAAAAACAACACAAAATCAGCTGAACAGAATTTGGGTGGGCTCTGCAGACAAGAAGTGATCCAGTGGGTTTTCATACAGGTGCAGCCTCAATCGCCTTAGTTAAAATTACAAGTTGTGGCTTTGCAGAACAAACCATGTGAACCGAAGAGGCAGCAGTGCTGCTAAGAGCTGTGCTGCATGGCACTTCTCTGCTGAGCAGGCAGCCACCCTAGGGGTGAGTCAATGTTCACGCTGAAGTCAGCAAGGCCTCAGCTTGGGAAACCTTTGACTTGGCTTGTCGTGGGGTGCAATGGCAGTTCCTGTGTCACAGCCTGCATGTGCCAGCTGAAATAGCCATTTCGTTTGGCAGATGGTTAAGTACCTTGCTGAGTCAGAGCCAAACCTGGTCCCTACGCAGAGGGAAATAAGCTGGGGCACAAGCATGAGGACAGGGGCTTCTGAGAAGCAAGGTGCCCCAGAGCCGCAAGCAGGCCACAACAGGGATGGGGACAACACTCTGACCAAAATAGGTTTACATTTTTAGTAATGACAGCGTGCAGTACGCAGCTGCTGGCAAGCAGCGGTGAATATGCAATACACAAAGTCTTTCAAACCTATATATACTACAAATAAAAGAATTTAAATTTGTTCTGGAAAACATGACCTCTGTTTTGAATGCCACAAACAAAAGACCTTTCTGAAGTCAAGACAGAATTCTGTTCAGATGACATGGATTAATTCCTGTAATAAAAAATTCCATCTTTAAGCAAAACAATAAAATAAAATAATAAAAAATATAACTAAATAATAAAAAATAAACTAAGCTTTAATGAAAATATAACTAAAAGCATGAAAAGCAGCATAAGTTGTTGAAAAATAAAAAATCTTGCTTCACACAATATATATGTATTTTCATATAGTGAAAATATATATGCAAATTTGTGTGCATTTTGTGGACATCTCTGGAGAGCAGTTCTTTGTCTCACTGCACGCAGTATGCAATACTGTGCATATGCAAGGAATGCACAAGTAGGAAGACTGGAAGCGAGAGAATAATTGTGAAAATATTTTTAGGGCCTTGTTTGACTGTGAATGGCTTTTCAGAGTTACTCCAAAGAAGGA